TTCTTCTTCTTATTATTATTATTTTTTTAGACAGAGTCTTGCTTTGTCACCCAGGTTCGAGTACAGTGGTGCAGTCTTGGCTCACTGCAACCTCCACTTCCCAGGTTCAAGCAGTTCTCCTGCCTCAGCCTCCCAAGTAGCTGGGATTACAGGTGTGTGCCACCACGCCCGGCTAATTTTTCTGTTTTTAGTAGAGATGAGGTTTCACTATGTTGGCCAGGCTGGTCTTAAACTCCTGGCCTCAGGTGATCTGTCCGCTTCAGCCTCCCAAAATGCTGGGATTACAGGTGTGAGGCATTGCCCCTGGCTCTGAATTTTTTAATCTAATTTAGCATTGGAACCTAGTGTCACAGGGATGGGTGTTAACACATGTACTTGAATAGAAAAATTTCAGGGCTAGGCATGGTGACTCAAGCCTGTAATCCCAGCCCTTTGGGAGGCCAAGGTGGGAGAATTGCTTGAGTATGGAGTTTGAGATCAGCCTGGGCAACATGGTAAAACCTGGCCTTTACAAAAAAAATACAATAACAGAGCCAGGCGCGGTGGCTCACGCCTGTAATCCCAGCAATTTGGGAGGCCGAGGCGGGCGGATCACCTGAGGTTGGGAGTTCGAGACCACGCTTACCAACATGGAGAAACCCCGTCTCTACTAAAAATACAAAATTAGCCGGGTATGGTGGCACATGCCTGTAATCCCAGCTGCTCAGGAGGCTGAGGCAGGAGACTTGCTTGAACCCAGGAGGCGGAGGTTGCAGTGAGCCAGAGATCGCACTGTTGCACTCCAGCCTGGGCAACAAGAGCGAAACTCCGTCTCAAAAAAAAAAAACAATAACAGGGCATGGTGGCATATGCTTGTAGTCCCAGCTATTTGTGGGACTGAAGTGATGGCTTGAGCCTGGGAGCTCCAGGCTGCAGTAATCAGAGATCACACCACTGCACTCCAGCCTGGGCAACAGAGACCCTGTCTCAAAAAACAAAAAAAAACCCAACAAAACAAAACAAAAAAATACATATATATACGTATACATATATGTATGTGTGTATATATATTTCAAATACATAACATAAAAACACCTTTCCAGGCCGGGCGCGGTGGCTCAAGCCTGTAATCCCAGCACTTTGGGAGGCCGAGACGGGCGGATCACGAGGTCAGGAGATTGAGACCATCCTGGCTAACACGGTGAAACCCCGTCTCTACTAAAAAATGCAAAAAACTAGCCGGGCGAGGTGGTGGGCGCCTGTAGTCCCAGCTACTCGGGAGGCTGAGGCAGGAGAATGGCGTAAACCCGGGAGGCGGAGCTTGCAGTGAGCTGAGATCCGGCCACTGCACTCCAGCCTGGGCGACAGAGCGAGACTCCGTCTCAAAAAAAAAACAAAAAAACAAACACCTTTCCAAAAAATATTAGATTGACAATGATGTATTAAAATAAACAATATTCTAATTTTCCCAGTCCTTTCTGAGTATATCAGTAAACACAGTGTCTCTTAAGTTAAAGTGTAATTACTTTTAATTGATAGTCATTTGCTAAACCTTGGCAGTCTTTTTGGCATATTGTAAGCACCCAACGGGTTCTTCCTGCCCACTGCACAGGCAGAACAGTAAAGAAAGAGTTTAATTAACATTAAGGTGAGGTTGGCCTTGTGGGAGAAGTGGAGTTATCAGTCTCCCCAAAGGCTGGAGGTCATGGTTTTTCAGTTTGGTGGGCAGGGGACTAGGGGATGGATGCTGCTGATTGACTGGGGATGCAGTCATTAGGGATGTGGAGAATAGTCCTCATGAACTGAGTCCACCTCTGGGTGAGGCTGCAGGGCCAACTGAGTCACAAGCCACCAGTCCTGGTGATGTAAGTCTGGAAAACATCTCCAATGACCAATCTTAGATTCTACAATAGTGATGTTATCTATAGGGGCAATGGAAGAAGCCACAAATCTTGTGACTTCTGGCTACATAACTCCTGAATGTCAGGGATTATAGAAATTATGTCAACATGTCAGCAGAATTCAGGCCCCTCCCATAAACTTAATTTTGTGGCCTCTCAATAGTTTTACAAAGGTGGTTTCAGCCCCCTCAATAAGGAGAGGATTAGTTTTAGGGAGGGACTATTATCATCCTGACTTCTAAGTTAAACTGTAAACTAAATTCCTTCCACGGTTAGCATGGCCTACCCTAAGAATGAGCGAAGACAGCCAGCCTGTGAGGCTAGCAGCAAGATGGAGTCAGCCACGTTACACCACCACCCAGAAAATGAGAAAGGGAATACTTCTAATGACTTTTGTAACACAAGTGTTTCAAATTCTTGCTTTAAACAAAAAATTAAAGAAAAATCAAATCAAGTTGTCAGTTGAGAGATTATCACTATGTGACTTTTTTGCAGATATCTCAAAAAATATGAAAATGAGTGACAATTTCATCATCTATTTTTACATGTGAACAAAGTTTCTCAGCACACTCATAAAAACATAAAGGAAATAGAATTTATTGCGAAACCTTGTCTAATTCTATCATTAAATAATGTTCATTCCCAGATAAATGCTTTTTTTTGACAGAGTCTTGCTCTGTCGCCCAGACTGGAGTGCAATGGTGCCATCTCAGCTTACTACAACCTCCATCTCCTGGGTTCCAGCCATTCTCCTGCCTCAGCCTCTGGAGTAGCTGGGACCTCAGGCCACCATGCCCAGCTAATTTTTGTATTTTTTGGTAGAGGCAGGGTTTCACCAGGTTGGCCAGGCTGGTTTCAAACTGCTGACCTCAAGTGATCTGCTCGCCTTGGCCTCTCAAAGTGTTGGGATTACAGATTTGAGCCACCGTGCCTGGGCATAAATGCATTTTTGAAAGAAACGAGCCCATCTGTCTTATTAATAGCTATCATTCCAATAAAATGTTTACTCTCTTTAAAAGTTATTTATAGCCGGGCGCGGTGGCTCAAGCCTGTAATCCCAGCACTTTGGGAGGCCGAGAGAGGCGGATCACTGGGTCAGGAGATCGAGACCATCCTGGCTAACACGGTGAAACCCCGTCTCTACTAAAAAATGCAAAATCTAGCCGGGCGAGGTGGTGGGCGCCTGTAGTCCCAGCTACTCGGGAGGCTGAGGCAGGAGAATGGCGTAAACCCGCGAGGCGGAGCTTGCAGTGAGCTGAGATCCGGCCACTGCACTCCAGCCTGGGCGACAGAGCGAGACTCCGTCTCAAAAAAAAAAAAAAAAAAAAGTTATTTATATAAATTGCAGCATAGTTTTCTTTTGTTTGACTGCTAATAGTAATTATATTGATAATTCAATCCAGGGGAAAAAATTTAACGAGAGGCTTTTTGTCATAGGAAGTTAAAAAGAATTAGAAGTTTAATACATATACATTTTTTTTTTTTTTTTTTTTTTTTTTTTTGAGACGGAGTCTCGCTCTGTCGCCCAGGCTGGAGTGCAGTGGCGCGATCTCGGCTCACTGCAAGCTCCGCCTCCCGGGTTCACGCCATTCTCCTGCCTCAGCCTCCCGAGTAGCTGGGACTACAGGCGCCCACAACCGCGCCCGGCTAATTTTTTGTATTTTTAGTAGAGACGGGGTTTCACCGTGGTCTCGATCTCCTGACCTTGTGATCCGCCCGCCTCGGCCTCCCAAAGCGCTGGGATTACAGGCGTGAGCCACCGCGCCCGGCACATATACATACTTTTGTTGCAGAGAAGTGATAAAAACACTTTCATGCATGAAATATATTGCTTTGGAATGTAATTCTGTGGAGAAAATGGAATGGAAATACAAGTTCAGAAAGATAAAAGAATGACAACATTTCTTTGTGGTTTTTTTTGAGACAGAGTCTCGCCCTGTTGCCCAGGTTGGAGTGTATTGGCGCCATCTCGGCTTATGGCAACTTCCGGCTCCCGGGTTCAAACGATTCTCTTGCCTCAGCCTCCTGAATAGCTGAGATTACAGGTGCCCGCAACCATGCCCAGCTAATTTTTTTTTTTTTTTTTTTTTTGTATTTTTAGAACTCCTGACCTCATGATCTGCCTGCCTCGGCCTCCCAAAGTCCTGTGATTACAGGCGTGAGCCACCGCACCCGGCCAAAAATGACAAAATTTCTGATGTAGGCTGGGTGCGATGGCTCACGCCTGTAATCCTAGTACTTGGGAGGATGAGGTGGGTGGACCACCTGAGGTCAGGAGTTTGAGACAAGCCTGGCCAACATGGAGAAACTCCATCAACATGGGGAAACCCCATCTCTACTAAAAATACAAAATTAGCCGGGCATGGTGGTGAGTGCCTATAATCCCAGCTACTCCGGAGGCTGAGGCAGGAGAATGGTTTGAACCTGTGTGGTGGAGGTTGCAGTGAGACAAGATTGCGCCACTCCACTCCACTCCAGCCTGGGCAACAAAGTGAGACTCCATCTCAAAAAAAAAAAAAAAAAAAAAAAAAAAAAAATCTGGTGTAAATGAAGAATTTGCTAATATATTTTTACTACCAGAGCTGACCACTCTGCCCCTTCCCCCTTTCTTATAACCATTGCATGATTTTGCATAAAACTTTTAGGGAGTGTCCAAGAAAAAAAGTTTGAAAACTACCGGTTAACCCATTCTTTACAGGAACTTGGCTGTGAAATGGAAAAGAGGAGAGCTGGCTCCAGGGAGGCTTAAGTGAAAGGTGATTTTATTTTATGTTTTAATTTTTATTTTTTTGAGACTATGTCTAGCTCCTTCCTCAGGCTGGAGTGAAGTGGTGCGATCACAGCTAACCACAGTCTTGACCTCCTGAGCTCTCATGGCTCACTACAGCCTCCACCTCCCCAGCTCAAGCAATCCTCCCACCTCAGTCCCCTGAGTAGCTGGGACCACAGGCCTGCACCACCATGTCTGGGTAATTTTTGTATATATATATTTTTTTGTAGAGACAGGGTTTTACCATGTTGTTCAGGCAGGTCTCGAACTCCTGAGCTCAGGCAATCCACCTGCCTCAGCCTCCCAAAGTGCTGGGATTACAGGCATGAGCCACCATGCCCCACCAGTGATTTTATTTTTTAAGTTGGAAGATCTGAGCATGTTTAATTGTTTAGTATCATGCCCGTTTTACAGAAAAAAAAAGAGAGGCTCTTAGAAGCTACAATGTTACTTCAATGCGGAGACTCTGGAACAAGATCCAGATCAGGACAGGCTAGGTTATGCTGCAGCAGCACACGCCCATTAAATCTCAGTAACCTGAATACATCCTAATTTTCTTCTCCCCGTACTATGTATCCTAGGGTGCGTCGGCAAGGAGTCTGCTCATCTTAGCCAATCAGTGACCCGGGTCACTGGATGATGGTTTCATCTCCATAGTTGGGGCAGCTGGCAGAAAGCGATACAATGGCTGGCTCAGTCGCCTTTAAAGCTGGTGGGAAGTAACATGTTATTACCGCTGTGTGTTTCAAGTGGGTCAGGTAAGTGCCAGTCCTACCATGTCCCCAGAAAGGGAAAGCACTGGAAACGTTGATGAGCAGTGCTGCCTACTCCATGACACTTCCGGTATTGAAAATAACCACAGGCCGGGCGCGGTGGCTCAAGCCTGTAATCCCAGCACTTTGGGAGGCCGAGACGGGCGGATCACGAGGTCAGGAGATCGAGACCATCCTGGCTAACACGGTGAAACCTGTCTCTACTAAAAATACAAAAAACTAGCCGGGCGAGGTGGCGGCGCCTGTAGGCCCAGGTACTCGGGAGGCTGAGACAGGAGAATGGCGTAAACCCGGGAGGCGGAGCTTGCAGTGAGCTAAGATCCGGCCACTGCACTCCAGCCCGGGCAACAGAGCCAGACTCCGTCTCAAAAAAAAAAAAAAAAAAAAAGAAAGAAAATAACCACAAACCCTTCTTCTATTTTTTTTTTTCTTTTTCTTTTTTTTTTTTTTTTTGTGAGACAGAGTCTCCCTGTGTCGCCCAGGCTGGGGATGCAGTGGTGCAATCTTGGCTTACTGAAACCTCCGCCTCCCAGGTTCAAGTGATTATCCTGCCTCAGCCTCCCGAGTAGCTGGGATTACAGGCATGCGCCACGACGCCTGGCTTGTTTCTTTCTGTTTTTTCTGTTTTTTGTTGTTGTTGTTGTTGTTGTTTTTTGTATTTTTAGTAGAGATGGGGGTTCACCATGTTGGCCAGGCTGGTCTTGAACTCCTAACCTCAAGTGATACAAAGGTCAGCTACAAACTTGTATTATCTGATACCTACTTTGAGCCCAGGCGAGAAAGGAAGGATAAAGTAAAGCATGAGACATTGTTAGTTCATTTCAACAGATGGGGAATTGTGGGTTTTAGTCTCTGACGCTTCATTGTTACCATGAGAGCCTGGAAATTCTTTTTTTTTTTTTTTTTTTTTTTTTAACATCTTTAGGTCATCCGGGAGGACGTGGTGCTCTTTTAGCTCTAACATTTTCTGGTTGCAATGCGCTTAGGACTGGGATGCGAAGTGAATGAGTTGGGAGAGAACGCAAGCCCCACAAGTGCCAGGCGTGCCATATCAGGAAAACACTTTCTAGTATTTTGTCCGTGTGTCTATTGGGGAATGCTCTTACATCCCGCAGAGGGCAGTAAGGACACAGCGCGAATTATAACCGCGAGTTTAAAAGTCCAGGGGTCGCTCACTCAACCTTGAAGGCACGTCAGAATCATCTGAGGGAGGTTTTATAAAACATCCGTGCTCCACCCAAGACAATGAAATCAGACTCCCTGCGAGCGGGGCCCGAACATCAACATTTTTGAAGACGCTCCCTGTGGCTGTGCATCGGTGATCTTTAATCCCCTGCTACTTGTTAGAGGAGCTGAATGACGCCTCGTGGGCTCATTCTCATAAATGAGCTCCTGAATGCAGTCCTCTCCTCCCAAGAGTTGTCGGTGTTGCATCTTTTTGTTGTTTATTTATTTATTTATTAGCCAACGTTAGAAGACGTCCAACGGTGCTGCATCTTAATGGGGGGACATCCAGCTAAAGGGAATCTTGGAGACATCCGCGGGTTCCCAGTGGCTCGCGGCAAGTTGGTTTCCCAGGGCAAGAGGCCGCCACTTAAGATCAGCTCTGCCTTTCGAGCTGGGCAGTGGAGGCTCTAAGTCCGCTTTCAGCAGGACTGGAGGAAGGAGACTGGGTGGCCCCAAGGAAGGAGGGGAAAAGGCTGCTGAGAAGAGGAGGAGGGAAAGGGGAAGAGGCAGGGCGAGGGAGGAGCCTGAGGAGACGCGGTCGCGGGCGGACTCGGCTCAACCCTGACATCTGCGCCCCGGCCGCCTGGTCGCCATGGCGGGCTTGGGCAAGGGCCCGGGCTCCGCTGTCCCCGTATGGCTAGCCGAGGACGACCTGGGCTGCATCATCTGCCAGGAGCTGCTGGACTGGCCCGCCACGCTGCCCTGCGGCCACAGCTTCTGCCGCCACTGCCTGGAGGGCCTGTGGGGCGCGCGCGGCGCCGGGCGCCGCTGGGCCTGCCCCACCTGCCGAGAGGGCGCCGCGCAGCAGCCTCGGCTGCGGAAGAACACGCTACTGCAGGACCTGGCCGACAAGTACCGCCGCGCCGCACGCGAGCTGGAGGCGGGCTCCAACTCTGCCGCTTGCCCCGGCCCCGGCTCCAGTCCCGGCTCCAGCCTGACCCCCAGGCCCCGGCGCCGCCCGGCACTGCCGCGGGTAGGGAGGCCGGTCCCGCAGCTCCCCTCGCGCCCCCCGGCTGCCCGCAGCCTGCCCTCTTCCCCTGTGGCTCGAATCCCTTTCCCCAGCCGTTCTACTTTTACGTTCCTTTTCTCAGTCTAAAAGTCGACTCCCGCTTTTGGGAGGAACTTTGGAAAGTTCATAAAAGTATGAAGAAGCGGGAAAAAACCAAATTCCCCATCTCCCGAAAGCCTGTCAACCTAGCTGCTACACGCCTTGGCATATTTCAACTTCTTCCCAATCGATCTTCGGTCTCTTTCTCTGACAGTTGTAAAATTGTGGTAAGATGTGTATAACATTAAAACTTGTAATTTTAACCTTCTTTTTTTTTTTTGAGACAGAATCTCGCTCTGTCTGGATGGAGTGTAGTGGCGTGATCGTCTCACTGCAACCTCCGCCTCCCAGGTTCAAGCGATTCTCCTGCCTCAGCTTCCGGAGTAGCTGGTACTACGGGCGTGAACCATCACACCTGGCTAATTTTTGTATTTTTAGTAGAGACGGGGTTTCACCGTGTTGGCCAGGCTGGTCTCGAACTCCTGACCTCAGGTGATCCACCCGCCTCGGCCTCCCAAAGTGCTGGGATTACAGGCGTGAGCCACCGCGTCCAACCTCATTTTAACCATTTTAAAGTGTACAATTCAGTGACAGATACATTTCCTGTTGTGCAACTATCCCTGCTGTTTCCAGAACTCTTTAATCATCATAAACAGAAACTCTGTACTCGTTAAGCAGTAACTCCTTATTTCCCCTCCCGCTAGCCCCTGCTCACATCTAAGCTACTTTCTGTTTCTGAGTTTGCCTGTTCTAGATATTTCATATAACTGGAATCGTTCAATGTTTGTCCCTTTGTGCCAGGTTTCTTTCACTTAGCATAGTGTTTTCAAGGTTCATTCATGTTGTAGCATGTGTTAGAACATTATTCCTTTTATGGGGCTGAATCATATTCCATTGGGTGGATGTGCCACATATATATACACATACATATATTTCCTTTTTTGAGCTGAAGTCTTGCTCTGTGGCCAGGCTGGAGTGCAGTGGGGCGATCTCTGCTCAATGCAGACTCCGCCTCCCAGGTTCAAGTGATTCTCCTGCCTCAGTGTCTGGAGTAGCTGGGACTACAGGTGCTCACCACCCCACTCAGGTAATTTTTGTATTTTCAGTAGAGATGGGTTTTCACCATGTTGGCCAGGATGGTCTCGATCTCTTGACCTTGTGATCTGCCCTCCTTGGCCTCCCAAAGTGCTGGAATTACAGGCGTGAGCCACTGCACCCTGCCTCATTGTGATTTTGATCTGGATTTCCTTAATGACTAATGATGTTGCCTATCTTTTCTTGTTCTTGTTGGTCATTTGTAGATCTTCATTGCAGAAATGTCCATTCAAGTCCTTTGACCATTGTAAAATTGGGTTTATCTTTTTGTTGTTGAGTTTTAGAGATTCCTTCTATATTCTGGATATCAAATTAGATATGACTCACAGATATATTATCAAATATATATTCTCCCATTCTAAGAGTTGTCACTTTCTCAGTGGTATCCTTTGATGCGCAAAAGTTTTAAATTTAATTTTTATTTGTTGTTTTTTGTTGTTGTTGTTGCTTGTGCTTCTGTTGTCATATTTACAGATTCATTGCCAAATCTCAGTTCATGAAGATTTACCCCTATGTTTTCTCCTAAGAGTTTTTTTGTTTTGGTTTGGTTTGGTTTTTTTTTTTTTCAGTGTCTCGCTCAGTTCCCAGGGATGGAGTGCAGTGGCACGATCTCAGCTCACTGCAGCCTCCACCTCCAAGGTTCAAGCAATTCTCCTGCTTCAGCCTCCCAAGTACCTGGGATTACAGGCGCCTGCCACCACACCTGGCTACTTTTTGTAGTTTTAGTAGAGATGAGGTTTCACCATTTTGGCCAGGCTGGTCTTGAACTCCTGACCTCAAGTGATCTGCCCGCCTTGGCCTCCCAAAGTGCTGGGATTACAGGCATGAGCCACCGTGCCAGCCTCTTCTAAGAGTTTTATGGTTTTAGCTTACATTTAGGTAATTGGTCAATTTTAAGTTAATTTTTGTATATGATGTGAATTAGGGGTCCAACTTCATTCTTTTGTAGTGGAAATCCAATTGTCTTGGTACCATTTGTTGAAGAGTCTATTCTCCAGTGATTAGACTTGGCATCCTTGTCAACAAATCATTTGGCCAGGCCAGGCGTGTGGTTCACACCTGTAATCCCAGCACTTTGGGAGGCCAAGGTGGGAGGATTGCTTGAGCCCAGAAGTTCCAGACCAGCCTAGGCAACATGGTGAAACCCCATCTCTAGAAAAATACAAAAAAGTGGCCGGGCGCGGTGGCTCACGCCTGTAATCCCAGCACTTTGGGAGGCCGAGGCGGGCGGATCACAAGGTCAGGAGATCGAGACCACGGTGAAACCCCGTCTCTACTAAAAATACAAAAAATTAGCCGGGCGCGGTGGCGGGCGCCTGTAGTCCCAGCTACTCAGGAGGCTGAGGCAGGAGAATGGCGTAAACCCAGGAGGCGGAGCTTGCAGTGAGCCGAGATCGCGCCACTGCACTCCAGCCTGGGCGACAGAGCGAGACTCCGTCTCAAAAAAAAAAAAAAAAAAAAGAAAAATACAAAAAAGTATCAGGGCATGGTGGCATGTGCCTGTAGTCCCAGGTATCTGGGAGGCTGAGGTAGGAGAAATCACCCAAGCTGAGAGTTTGAGGCTGCAGTGAGCCATGATTGTACCACTGCACTCTAGCCTGGGCGATGGAGTGAGACCCTGTCTCAAAATAAATGTATAGTTTTACTTCTGGACATTCCATTTTATTCCATTGGTCTATATGTCTGTACTTACGCTAGTACCACACTATTTTGATTACTACAACTTTTTAGTAAATTTAGAAAATTGGGAAGTGTGAGTTCTTTGACTTTTTTTTTTTTTCCAGGATTGTTTTTGTTATTCAGAACTCCTTGCAATTCCATCTGAATTTGAAGATTGGCTTTTCCATTTCTACAAAATAGGCTGTTGGAATTTTGATAGGGATTATGTTGAATCTGTAGATCACTTTGGGTAGTATTGACATCTTAACAATATTAAGTCTTCTTTCCCTAAAACACAGAATGTGTTTTTATTTATTTTTATTTGGGTCTATAATTCCTTCAGTGATTTTTTTGTAGTTTTAAGTGTGTAAGTCTTTCACCTCTTTCATTAAATTTATTCCTAGCTATGTTATTCCTTTATTATTATTATTATTATTATTATATTTTTTGAGACAGACTCTTGTTCTGTCACCTAGGCTAGAGTACAGTGGCACGATCTCAGCTCACTGCAACCTCCATCTCCCGGGTTCAAGCGATTCTCCTACCTCAGCCTCCTGAGTAGCTGGGGTTACAGGCGCCCAACACCACCCCTGGCTTATTTTTGTATTTTTTAGAGACAAGGTTTCACCATGTTGGCTAGGCTGGTCTCAAACTCCTGACCTCAGGTGATCCACCTGCCTCGGCCTCCCAAAGTGCTGGGATTACAGGTGTGAGCCACTGCACTAGGCCCATTATAATTTATTTTAAGAAATTTTTCAGGCTGATTGTTGTGGCTCACACTTATAATCCTAGCACTTTGGGAGGCAGAAGCAGGAGGATTGCTTAAGCCCAGGAGTTCAAGACCAGCCTGGGCAGCATGGTCAGACCCAATAAAAAAAAAAAAAGAAAAGAGAAACTATGAGACCCGCTGAAAAAAAAAAGAAAAAAGTAGCTAGGTGTGATGACACATGGCTGTGATCCCAGCCACTTTCGAGGCTGAGGTGGGAGGAACACTTGAACCCAGGAGGCTGAGGCTGCTGTGAGCTGTTTTCATGTCACTGCACTCCAGCATGGGCAACAGAGCAACATCCTGTCTCCCCTTAAAAAAAGGATACTACTTATCCCTGGACCTGAGCCCAGGCACACATCTGGATTAGAAGATGCCAGGCTCAGAGGATCTTTCTAACGGCAAGGACCAGATGCATTCACACAGGAAACGAACCATGTTCACTGAGAAGCAACTGGAAGATCTGAACATCTTGTTCGATGAGAACCCATACCCAAACCCCAGCCCTCAGAAATAAATGGCCTCAAAAATAGACATACGCCCAATACTACTCCAGGTATGGATCAAGAACCACAGAGCAAACCTCAAGAAAGCCAAATAAAAGCATATTCAGCAAAAACAAGCAAAAACTCCACAACCGCCAATACTGGAGGGTGGAGTCACCACCAGTGTCGGCCTGAGAAATGCAGACACACTACCCAGATTGCCCAACACTGCTCGTCTGATTGGCTTGGTGTACACGGGTCATCGGGTACCCTCATTCCAACTCATCCTGTACCCTCAAGGTCCCTGCAAATGACCTCGTGGGCCACAGAATAGTCCATTTTGGCTGCTGCCGAGATCCTAACATATATGACTTCTACCCCATTTTGGAATCCCAAGTTTGGGCTCCAAGCTTCAATTCTGGCTCTTCTGCCTGTTCATACCTACAAAGTTGAGAGATGATAAATATAAAAAGTCACATGTAAAAAAAAATGAATACTAAAAAAATTTTTGTGTTTTTCACACAGAGTCTCACTCTGTTGCCAGGCTGGAGTGCAGTGGCGCGATCTTGGCTCACGGCAACCTACACCTCCTGGGTTCAAGTGATTCTCCTGGCTCAGCCTTCCGATTAGCTGGGACTACAGGTGCCCGCCACCATGCCCAGCTAATTTTTGTATTTTTAGTAGAGACGGGGTTTCACCATGTTAGCCAGGATGGTCTAGATCTCTTGACCTTCTGATCCACTGGCCTCGGCCTCCCAAAGTGCTGGGATTACAGGCATGAGCCACTGCACCCGTTTTAAAAGAAATTTTTAAATTTCCTTCTTAATTTTTTCATTGACCCACTGGTCATTCAGGAGCATATTGTTTAATTTCCTTGGGTTTGTATAGTTTTCAAAATTCCTCATTATTGATTTCTAGTTTTACTCCATTGACTAGTTTTCTCCATAGTCAGAGAAGATACTTGGTATTATTTCAATTTTTTTTTTTTTTTTTGAGATGGAGTCTTGCTCTGTCGCCAGGCTGGAGTGCAGTAGCATCATCTCTAGTCTTTGCAACCTCTGCCTCCTGGGTTCAAGTGATTCTCCTGCCTCAGTCTCCTCAGCAACTGGGATTACAGGCACACGCCACCACACCTGGCTAATTTTTGTATTTTTAGTAGAGACAGGGTTTCACCATGTTGGCCAGGATGGTCTTGATCTCGTGATCCACCCACCTCGGCCTC